ATTCTCCATGAATAATTAATACAAACACAAAGATATACAGAAGAAAATATATATAAAAAATCTATGTAAGGAAAAACTAGATATATTATATAAAGTATATAAAATAAAACCCAGATTTTTATAATTTAAACTTATTAAGGTTTAACAGGATACGAAGAGATATTTAAAAAAATGAAAACTAAGAAAAGGTAATAGTATCTGAATTATCTCGTATATGTCTACGAAGTTTAAAAGTTCACAGATTTAAGTTCAATAAGTATTTGTATGTCTAACTATATGAGAAACTTGTCATATAAATTAACATCTAGTAGCCAAATATTTTAGCTGTCTCATTTGGCATAGAGTTCTCAAAGGATGTATATCCTCTTGGAAAATTCGTATGAATTACCAATAATTTTACCATCAATATATATATATATATATATATATATATATATATAGTGAGAGATAGATAGATAGATAGATAGATAGATAGATAGATAGATAATGACAAACAAGCACTTAAAAAACTTAGGTGATAATTTATTTCATTATAGTCGATAACAAACGGCTTCAAATCATCAGACCTCTAAAACCAAATGAAAAGGGACAAATTTTCTTTTACGTTTAAAAATATTATATATATATATATATATATATATATATATATATATATTGTAATAAATATAGTGACAAAGATGATGACATTAGGCCGAATAATGTAAATAGTATATATATATATATATATATATATATATATATATATATATATATATATATACAAATGAGAGAAGTAACAAATAGGGTTTTTAAAAAAAAGTGCTCAATACAAAATAATATTATTATATTTTTATCATAATAAAATAAAAAAAAATTTAAATCGCCACACAAAAGCTTTCATGTTTCAACACTATGATTGTACTTACTCAGGTGATGGTTTTCTAACAAGTACACTACCATTATTTATGCCATTTTTGTGGTACGCTTCCTGTTGTCTTCATTGCGTGTAACCGTGCTCAAAACCACTATTTGGATTCCATAAATGTTTCAAGGAGCACCAGTGAATATTACTGTGTGTATTCTTATCACATGGACGAATTCCAATACGCACGCCTGTTTCAAAGACAATCAGTAAATACTTTTTCGGTATGAAGTTGAAAAATCTACAACTGTACCACCAACAGCTATTTTGACGTTCTGTGCTAGAATAATGAAACAAGAGGTATTAATTTCAAAGTGATCTTCGTAAAGATGTCATCTGTTTTCAGACATTGATATTATTTCCTCAGTTGATATTATGGAGTCTTTTAGCAGTTCCAATTTCTTGCGAAGGTTTCAGGAAATATTTCTCGTCTTCAAATAAAGTTTGAGGTTCAAATTAAGAAAGATCTTTGGAGAATTTGCTGTTCGGTTTGAAATCTCCCGACGCGAAATCGCTATCAGAAACTTTGAGAGATTTCTTCATTTCAGCAGCAGCTTGGCTGATAGTGACCCGTCCATTATTCGCTTGCAGAATGCCCCCAGTTGCAGGATTCTGCTGACGCCAGGGAAAAAAGAATGCTCAATTGCTTCATATGAATATAGGCACCCGGAGACAGGGACCACCTCTGACTCCTGCAAGTTTGAAACCCTATAAGAATGAAATCTGATTTGCGGAAAACACTCTAGCCCTCTTTTCCCTTATCATTCTCCCTATTCAGCACTCATTTTAACTATCTATCTATCTATCTATCTATCTATCTATCTATATATATATATATATATATATATATATATATATATATATATATGTGTGCGTGTATGTATATAATATCTTCTTCATATATATCTATTTGTCTGTCTCTATGAGTTTATTTATCTATCGATCTATTTCTGTCTGTTCCTATCTCTTCCTCTGTCCCCTCTCTCACCTCTCTCTCTCTCTCTCTCTCTCTATATATATATATATATATATATATATATATATATATATATATGGTGCAGTTCAGTTAATATTACATAAATCATTCATACAAATAGTAGATTAGTAAAGTTAATGATGTAAACTATATCATTAACTTTACTAATCTACTTTTTGTATGAATGATTCATGTAATATATATATATATATATATATATATATATATATAATAAAAGAAATTTCTCTGTATCCTTGGAAACAAAAATAATGAATTTCATGTGCGTTTAAAACTCAGTAAATTTTATAAGTTATTCCAAAATTTGCTTGAAGATGAAACGCAACAAGTGCTTTTACTTTAATTATATAATTAAATTTGAAGTTTTTAGCTTCGATATTTGAAACACGGTAATTCCTGTGTAGCGAAGGAGCCATACTTTTAAATCAGTTAATTCATACATACATACATACATACATATATATATATATATATATATATATATATATTATCCCAGTGGGTCGAATCACACATTCATATCAAGCAATCTATCTTAGTCTACTTCTATATATATATATATATATAGATATAGATAGATGTATATGTATATTATCCCCTTCATATATATATATTTGTCTGTGCATTTCTATCTATCTATTTATCAATCTATTTATCCATCTATCTATATATATATATATATATATATATATATATATTAAAAATGGACGAGGTCCGACAATTTATTTATTAAAGACATTTTTTATTTATGTTTAACGTTGTTATTTTATAGATACAAGTATTTAAGCCTCTGGCCATGATGAACCTTAAATGGTAGACAAGGCCGAATTTAATTTTATAAACTACATTCTTTCATGAATGGACTCGAGTGGTTAAGGCACGTCATATACGTATATGACTTAACCGTATAGGATGCAGGTGAACGAGTCGAATTTGTGTTATAAACGACAATTTTCTATGAAAATTGGTTAAGGACATTCAGCGCCGGTAAATGTTATTTAATACTGTTTATCATAAACAGAGCATTTACTGTTTTCATAAAATACTTGTAAATATTTGTATCTATAAAATAACAACGTTAAACATAAATAAAATGTATTTAATAAATAAATTGTCGGACCTCGTCCATTTTTTAACATATGACGTCATTTGTTTACATTCGATACGCCAGAGCAGTTATGAATGTACGAGATTCATGGAAGATTGTAGTTTATAACAGTAAATTCGACCTTGTCTACCATAAGGTTCATGGTGGCCGAGTGGTTAAGGCACGTCAGCGTATATGACGGTTCCGTATAGGATGCAGGTTCGAGTCCTGTCTATGAACGAATATTTTCTATGAAAATTTCTCGGACATTCAGGCCGGTAAATGTTATTTAATACTGTTTATCATAAACAGAGCATTTGCTTAAATACTTGTATCTATAAAATAACAACGTTAAACATAAATAAAATGTCTTTTAATAAATATATATATATATATTTGTCTGTGCATTTCTATCTATCTATTTATCAATCTATTTATCCATCTATCTATCTATCTATATATATATATATATATATAGATGTATATATATATTATCCCTTTCATATATATATATTTGTCTGTGCATTTCTATCTATCTATTTATCAATCTATTTATCCATCTATCTATTTATCAATCTATTTATCCATCTATCTATCTATCTATCTATCTATCTATATATATATATATATATATAGATGTATATGTATATTATCCCTTTCATATATATATATTTGTCTGTGCATTTCTATCTACCTATTTATCAATCTATTTATCCATCTATCTATTTATCAATCTATTTATCCATCTATCTATCTATCTATATATATATATATATATATATATATATATGTATATGTATATTATCCCTTTCATATATATATATTTGTCTGTGCTTTTGTATCTATCTATTTATCAATCTATTTATCCATCTATCTATTTATCTATCTATCTATATATATATATATATATATATATATATATATATATATATATAGATGTATATGTATATGTATATTATCCCTTTCATATATATATATTTGTCTGTGCATTTCTATTCATCTATTTATCAATCTATTTATCTATCTATCTATTTATCTATCTATCTATCTATATATATATATATATATATATATATATATATATATATATATAGATGTATATGTATATGTATATTATCCCTTTCATATATATATATTTGTCTGTGCATTTCTATCTATCTATTTATCAATCTATTTATCCATCTATCTATTTATCTATCTATCTATCTATCTATATATATATATATATATATATATATATATATATATATATAGATAGATGTATATGTATATGTATATTACACCTTTCATATATATATATTTGTCTGTGCATTTCTATCTATCTATTTATCAATCTATTTATCTATCTATCTATCTATCTATCTATATATATATATATATATATATATATATATATATATATATATATATATATATATATAGATGTATATGTATATTATCCCTTTCATATATATATATTTGTCTGTGCATTTCTATCTATCTATTTATCAATCTATTTATCCATCTATCTATTTATCTATCTATTTATCTATCTATCTATCTATATATATATATATATATATATATATATATATATATATATATATATAGATGTATATGTATATGTATATTATCCCTTTCATATATATATATTTGTCTGTGCATTTCTATCTATCTATTTATCAATCTATTTATCCATCTATCTATTTATCTATCTATCTATCTATATATATATATATATATATATATATATATATATAGAGATATATGTATATGTATATTACCCTTTCATATATATATATTTGTCTGTGCATTTCTATCTATCTATTTATCAATCTATTTATCCATCTATCTATTTATCTATATATATATATATATATATATATATATATATATATAGATGTATATGTATATTATCCCTTTCATATATATATATTTGTCTGTGCATTTCTATCTATCTATTTATCAATCTATTTATCCATCTATCTATTTATCTATCTATCTATATATATATATATATATATATATAGATGTATATGTATATGTATATTATCCCTTTCATATATATATATTTGTCTGTGCATTTCATTATCTATCTATCTATCTATCTATCTATTTATCTATCTATCTATTTATCTATCTATCTATTTATCTATCTATCTATTTATCTATCTATCTATTTCCGTCAGTTACTATCTGTCTATGTATCTATCTTTCTCTTTCTTTGCCTTTTCCTCTCTTTGTATCTCATTCCCTACATGACAACCCACCACCATCCTTACTTCTGCATTGTTTTACATACATATATATATATATATATATATATATATATATATATATATATATATATATATATATTATCCCAGTGGGTCGAATCACACATTCATATCAAGCAATCTATCTTAGTCTACTTTATCTATCTATCTATCTATCTATATATATATATATATATATATATATATATATATATATATATATATATGTATATGTATATTATCCCCTTCATATATATACTTCTGCATTGTTTTCTTTATTACTTTCTTATGTATTCCATGTGAAGATCATGTGAACCTATGCTCATCTCAAACTCCATATCAATAGCAGCATAAACCCTTCTCTTGTCATCACCCGCCGTCTGACTTTTATTGAAAACGACCCACGATCACCGAGAATACAAGGAACGTAGATCATCAGTTTGGCAAAGTTCTTTATTATAAGTTAAATGACTAATTCCCAACTCGAACAAAAAAATAAAAAAATAGAATAAAATAATGCTCAAAAGATATTTAACGTCAGTACCGTTAAACCAATATCCGTATGGACAAATTTGCCCGTAAAAAAGGTTTCAAGGAAAACTGAGTTGTAAAACTGATATTGAATCATTTGCTATGTCTGTTCCAAGAAAAGTTTGTTCACTGTGTTATTCTAGATAATTTTCTCAACAGAATTTTACCCATTCATATGTCACCTAATTGCTCATGCATTTAATATTGTTGTTGTTATAAGGCGTTTAAACTGCTTGTGCGTTCATCGTCAGCCATGGGGCTTTTGTTTAATTTTTGAATTTCTAAAATTATTTTGGTACATTTTGATTTGGGGTGAAACGGCTGCCTTTGTGCCTTTATTCAAAATCGATAAAAGAATTCCCTCCAAATTCCGAGAAGTATATTTGGAGCCTACCTTTAGGTTTTTCAAGGAGAGTGAAAAAAAAAAAAAAACAACACATAAGAATTTTGACAACTACCAGACAACAATTGCATGTATCATTAAAGTCGCTCCAACATCAAGGAAAAATCTTCGGCTGGTGAGCTTGTTCTATTCTTCACTTTTTCCAAGAATTTTTGTTTCGAATATGGTCCCAATTCTTTGAAAATGAATCAGAGAAATGTTTCTCAATTTCTTCACTTTATGTAGTTTTCTTTTCTGAGGAACTTATTTGCAGGATTATAAATTTTTATTCTAAAAAAACATATTTCATTTTCATTGATCATTTACATACATGTTCTTGGTCATTCATTTTTATATGTTAACAACAAATTTATCGTCTGTTTTTAAACTCATCTCGTCTCGTCTTCCTTTGTCCATAGAGTTTACCTGAAACATTTGTTTCAACTATTTTTTCATAGTTTTTTTTTTTTTTTTACTAAATAAAATATCTTGTTCAGGGGATTGTTCTATGAATTATAAAGATTCTTGATAAAATCCAATGAAAAATCTGCAAATTTATTGTTCCTGACCTGGCATCTCGGCTTGAGTCATTTTGCCGCTAACATATCGTAGTTCGCCTGAAGCTTTTCTATAAATATTTTCATGACACACGGCCCACTGAATAAAATCATTGGTTAGATTCAGAGACTTGTCCCAAAGAGTTGTCAGTTCAATTCCTGGCTACGGCAGTGACGAACAAAAACGTGGAGTTAAAGGGAGACATAAGTGAGACATCCGAAGGGGCATGGCAAGTGGAACAAGAATAATATACCCCGGTGGACGAAATAAAGGGTTCAGTTCGAAGTTCCAATGACCTGAAGAAGGCCGGGGCGTACAACGGTCGAAACGTTTTGAACATGGCAATAAAAATGAGGACAATAATCCGAACAATGTAAATAAATGTAAATAATTACAAGACCTCATCTCAGAAATATAGATAGATATAGAAGAAGGCCGGAGCGTACAACGGTCTAAACGTCGTGAATATGGCAACGAAGATGAGGACAACAGTCCGAACAATGTAAATAGTGTAAATAATTACAATACCTCATCTCAGAAATATAGACAGATATAAAAGAAGGCCGGATTGTTTTGAGGTAACGGTAAATATGCCAATATCCCTGCTATCATTAATTATACATTATTCCTTTTCGGAGGGTCTTACATTTGTTTTCAAGGCTATTTGTGTGTGCATTTATGCAACAGTTTTTTCTTCGTCTTCTTTTCTTTTTTATTATTATAGATAGAGAAAATTTAGTCATATTATTTAACAAAATAAACACGCACATACAAGCACACACACACATGGTTATTCATTGAGCAAAATACTTCCATTTAAAAGAGTGTTTTCTTTATAAGCAGTCTCTCCCCACCTCTCGCTTTATATATATATATATATATATATATATATATATATATATATATATATATATATTATTGCTATTATTATTTTATTACAATCGATTATAATAAAAACATGTTGAAATCGTTAAACAAATGCTTTAATGTTTCAATACTACGATTGTACTTCTTCAGGCGATGGTAAGAAACTCATGATTAAAGGAATTTCTTCACTTCTTTCTCTCCTTTATATACAGGCATATATATATATATATATATATATTCATCTTATGCAGTGTTACATTAGAACATGCACCTATCCATTACAAAATGGTACATTTTTGTTTCAACGTCAAAAAGAAAAAAGTTCTCATATATATATATATATATATATATATATATATATATATATATATATATATATATATATATATATATATACAATCCAAGACTGTTTATGGCTCGCCTATTGGATATATTATTAGGTAATCTAGATTGTGCAGCGTGATATAAGAACGATTCGTTCACTGTTTTGTACAGATCCCAGTCCGATCAACATGTGCATCTAATAGAAGCGGTTTTTATTAAGTTACATCAACCGTCTCTGTGTTTTCATAAAAAGAATTTTGTTCTGTCGCTCTCACTTTGAACCATTTACATTAGGATTTTTCCTTGTATATTTCCTACATTTATTTTTCTTTCCCACTCGTTTTATTTACTTGTGCTTCTTTTTACCACTCCTTATATTTTCTCACAATCCTTATTATTTATTGTTGCGTTTTCTTGAAAATTATTAACAAGGCTAGAACATGTAAAACTTGGGATGACCCATGCCCTTTATGCATCCATGAGAAATTGCACATTATTAAGCTTCTAAATAATAAGAATCTATTAAACAATAAACACGAGTTAACGGTTTTTTGTAGGCATCATCAGATTTTTGGTTTGAATTTTTAGCTAAAAACTAGCATACAATATAATAACTTGTTTAATCCATAGCCCACTCATCAGATTCATGGTTTGAATAATTAACTAAAAACATGCATACAATATAACACCCTTCATAATCCATAGCCGAAATAAATAGTTTAAATACCATAAAAAAAGATAACCCTTTATGAAGTCGTCAAAAACAAACGTTACGACAGTTTTTTTTATATGCACAAATCCCTTTCATAAAAAAAAAAAAAAATAAATAAATCTCCATAGACATGCAAACTAGACGAGGGTTAATACATCTTCCGTTTCAAATTTAGACACCTCCACCTTTCCCTGACTTGACATCTACGAAAGTAACTCTATACTGATACTTATTATTAACACCCAACACCCGCCTACCCAACTTAAACAATTCGCCCTAGCTGTTACCATGGAAATTTTGATTTCAATTATTAAAACACGTAAATTTCAGAAACACGTTATTCCAAAAAAAATTTCGCTTGAAGATGGAACAGAGCTTTATTTTAACTCAATTTAATTTAAATAATTATATTGAAGTTTTCGGCTCTTGTTTTGAAACATGAGACTTCTTATGTAGCGTTTTGGAATCATATTTTAAATAAATAATTATATTTATGCTCTACTTTTGTATCGAGTACTATTTTTTAAAAATAATAACTAAAATACTAAGGGACTTTGGATTATTTACCTAACCAGTTCCTTCTTATTTCCTATATATTTCACACACACACACACACACACACACACACACATATATATATATATATATATATATATATATATATATATATATATGAAATGGACACAATCCGACAATTATTTTAAGACATTTTTATGTTTATACTTTTTGTTATAGATACAAATATTAAGCAAAATGTTCTGTTTATAATAAACTTAGCATTTACTTAAATGTTTGTATCGATAAAAAGAATGTATAAACATGAAAATGTCTTAAAATATATATATATATATATATATATATATATATATATATATATGTCGGCCTGACGATTGCGTCTAGCATGAAACTTCCTTCCGTCTCTGAGTGTTGACTTCAATGTTCAATCTATATTTATGATATATATATATATATATATATATATATATAATCTGGAAAGGGAAAATGCTCATATACTATTGAAATTGCAGATAACATAGGAACCATTGATTCTCTATAATAACATATATAATAATAATATAATATAATATCAATAACATTCAGATCTCGCAAGCCTTGCCTCTGTAAACTGAGGGATTATTTGCTGGGTCTGAATGTTATTAAGCTCTAGTTTTCCTTGAAAATTTTTCTTCCCATTAGTCATCATCTATTTAGTTTACTCATCTCTTATTTTAAGAATTCCCAGGAATAAACTTGATAAGACTGAGACGAAACCGGTTGTTTTTTTAGCTATTAGAATGTACATTAAAAATGCCTTTTAGATTATGCTTATTTTATGCTATTATAAAATTTTGTACACTAAAAATTTAGTTGAAATATATATATATATATATATATATATATATATGTGTGTGTGTGTGTACGATATGATAAGATAAATAACAAAACTTCTTGGAACTTGGAAGGGACGCGTCGTCTCTTCTTGTATTCAAAACGCCATAAATTATACAAACGTTTGTTTAACTAGTCGAATTCTCATGAAACCTGATTAACTAATTAATATAAAACAAGTTAAAAAATAAAAATCGCATTTTTTTTTTTAACGCGATATCTCATTTTGTGATGAAACATTAATAAAAGTGAAAACTTTAGAAAAAACCTTTCTTATCCTAAATCTCTCGGATTTCGATTCATATATGATCCTAATTTATATATATATATATATATATATATATATATATATATATATATATATATATATATATAACAAGGAATAAGCGTAATTTAAAAGGCATTTCTAATGTAAATTCTAATAGTTAAAAAACAACTAACAAACATTCAAACACAGCAGGGATTGTTTGCTGGGTCTGAAAGTTATTGGGCTCTAGTTGTCCTTGAAATATTTCTTCCCATTAGTCATCATCTATATATATATATATATATATATATATATATATATATATATATATATATATTAGTTTATGCAAAACTAGGTAATCCGTATGGGTAGACCCAAGGAGGATGATATCTAGAGAGCTCAATGTAAATCCAGAGCAAATAAATTTGAATAAAAACAGACCACTTTAAGTTTCCATGTAATAAATTATTTCACCACAGCCCTTTTAAAGGATCAACATTTGGAAGTAAAGTGTGATGATCCAGAGCCCTTTAAAAGGGCTGTGGTGAAATAATTTATTACCTGGAACCTTAAAGTGGTCTGTCTGTATTCAAATATATATATATATACATTTCTATGTATATGGAAAAATGCACATATATTTATTGCAACAGCAATTAACATGGATATCAGTGATTCTCCAATATTTTGTCATTACGCATGCGTACACTAAATGCCTTTTATTTGATGTAATCCTATCAGATATAAACAAAATGCATGAAGGCCTTGAGTATTAAACAAAAACATCTTAGATAAAGACTTTGCTTGGCTCCTTTTTCCCTCCAACCGTTAGGTAGTCGGAAAAATCTCAGCTTATTGAAGGCCTGGTTTCCCAGTTCATTTCCTCTATTATTTAATCTGGTCGTCTTTTTCAATTACCCACGTATGTCGATGACAGCAACAAGAAAAGCTCACTGAATTTCTAGTTTCCTTGGATAAATGTACTCCAGATATTTTGATTTCGTTTGCGTTGAACAGGAAATCTTTAACTCTGTGGCATATAAAGCAAAATGTCTTTAAGTCAATAGAAAAGGGAACACGCATGATGTCATGGGGCTAATTGATATTTGAACAGTCGTGTCAAATACACATATGTCAATGTAATCCCACTGAGTTGATTTTTTATTATTATTATATATATATATATATATATATATATATATATATATATATACGAATACAAGGTTCGTATAGATGAACCAAAAACACTATTCAAAAAAAAAAACGTACTCAATAGAGAATAGAGCGAATATAAAAGTTTTACCATCACTACAAAAATAGTAATTTTGTAGAATATGTAGAATACATACATACATACCTACAAACATATATATATATATATATATATATATATATATATATATATATATATCCGAATACAAGGTTGGTATAGATGAACCAAAAAACACTATTTTTTTAAAACGTACTCAATAGAGTGTAGAGCGGATATAAAAGATTTAACAGATTCTACAAAAATAGTAATGTTGTTTCAACACTTCTACTGTCTTGTCAAATGATGGTGTTGTAAGTAAAATAAAAATTTTATTTTTATTTTACTTACAGCTAAATATATATTTAACAAATTTGCATGCCTTTACCTACAGATAAAATGTCATTTTAGTAGTATTATAAACTCTTTTTTTATACAAAAATATATTGCTAGTATTTCTATGTATTTTTATACCTTTATAGTGATTTGTTTTTATTTGGGGATTCACTATTTGCCCACAGCTAGGACCATAACAGGTGCTACCACCCAGGGTCAGGATAGACCTGGGAACCACAGCAGTTAAGAGGTGGCTTAACTCTCTTTAAAACCTACAATCGCCAAACCTGAGGCCTTTCCGCTGGGTGTAGCTTATCGCCATACCCAGAATTAGAATTTGTCTCTGTCGGCTTGTTTGTTTAGCGACATATGAACACTTTATGGGTCATTTAATATTGAAATTTAATTGGGGGTAGGGTCATTAGTAAATTCTTTTATAAAAAATTATTACTGGTAATACCGTAATTCCCCATGGATAATACGCCTTCATCCATAACACGCTCCTCTAAAATTATGCTGCTAGTGTGCGAAAATGCTTCTACTCATGCATAATACGCACCCTTTGTTTACTAATCAAACCCTATAAATTGTACCTCTCCAGTTTCCTTACGGCCAGCTTTTCCTATTCTTATTTTAAAAAAAAGATTTTAAACATAGAATAATATTATTCTAATTTAGTTTTATGATAATTCTTGTTTTATTTTACATATGTAAATATTATAAGGGTCATATCGTATTTGACATCGTTATGGGGTCGCAATGGCCGAATGTTAGTGACAAATTGTCTTAGTGTTTGTGGTGAGTAGTCATTTCGCAACTGAAATGGACCTATGAAAAGGCAATAATTGAAAATTATATTTTTAGAAAAAAAAATGCGTATTATACATGAGGAATTACAGTATTTATTTATTTATTTTTTACAAAATATATTGCAGGTAATCTTTTATTATGAAAATGGATTGCTGGTATTTTTACTATAAAATGCTTTATACTTCCATAATGTTTTGACCACAGGGTGTTATCCAAAGCTGCGACCTGTCAGGTGCTACCCACCCCCGGGGGCCAGGGACAACAAGAAATTAAAAGATGATTCCACTCTTTTTTCAAAATCATCAATCTCATGTTAAAAGGCCTTAAGAAACGGGGAGAAACCTCGTAAGAAACAAAGAAAAGAGTACTGAATTCTGATCTTGATTAGTTTTCCTATATAATAATGAAGCTAGACAATCTCCTCACAGATAAAGAAAAGTCTTGATAAAGATATGTAATGTGATAGGTACTGATCTGGCATCTCGTCTACAGTCGTTTACAGGCGTGCTGTGGTTTCCCTCTGTCTTTTCTTGAAATATTTCCATAGCAACTGCTCTGGGGAGCTATTTTAAATGATACACCAACAGCAAGAATTTAAGCGTGCTACTAGGTTGGCATCTCGGCTCCACCTTTTCCTGCCGAAAGAGTTAAATGCAGCCCTCTATTCTACTCCAACAGCTTTTATCTCGCACTTCCCAACAGTGGAACTCCCTTCCTATCACTTGCTTCCTTGATAATCTTTAAATATTCTTCTGATGCCTTAATCCTGATCCCCGTCCATCTCTATATCCTTTCCTCAAACAGCCATCTTTACTCTTACTCTCATTCTCTGTAACCCCTTGCGTTCTTGTGGCACTCCCGCCACAAAAAGAAATGTAGTGCTTCAGAAGGAGGTTGATGATACCAAGAACTGAACAAGTGAGAAAAGACAGAGTTATGGAAACAAAATGTACAGTTTTACTTAAAATCAGAAAGTGAGTTGAAATTTACTGTGTACATAATGAGGGAAGAGGGTTTCGAAAAATTGAAACTCACATGGCACATCGAAGGCAGGCGAGACAGAGGAAATCAGCACATAGCCGCCCTAACAAGCTTTTGTAAATGGCTGGCAGAACAGGGATTAGTAGAGATAAGATAATGATAAACTTGACAAAGTGCTACAATGGCACATTAGAAAGGCGAAAGTTGCATTAAAAAGCTAAGCAAAGTATTAAGAAACAGGAAAAAAAGTTGTTAAAAAAAAAGAAAAGTGCGCAGAATTTCTAAAGTGTATTCTGAACAATTTCATCACAGATGGAGAAGAGGCTTGAAGCATCAAAGATGTTGTTCTACAGGAGGATGATGGGAATATCAGGGAAAGAGCATGCAAGAGGAAGAAACGGTTAAAATTTCTAGAGCACATAATGTAGAAAATTAAACAGTCATAGTTTATATGGAAATCAAGAGAACAGAGAAAAGTACAGTATAACATACCTAACATGCGTGTGTACATAGCTGGCATCTCAGGGATTAGGAGAGATAGCAAAATGACTAAATTTACTAAGCGCTACAAAAGTCAGGAAACTGTGGAGGGCTATGGTCGCTTACATCCTGAAGGGACACATGAAGAATTGTTTCTAGCTTTATGACACTTCTGCTTATATATTTATAAAAATGATATTCACACGAGGATGTATGGTTGAGAGTGGAACGTATTGCTGGATTTTAGTGTATTGATTATAATTAACTGAAGCAGTTACATTTGATTGGTCTAAAATTGTATGACGTAACAGTAAAGAAAATAATCCTTCTTACTTTCTTTGCAAAACGATTCGTTTTTTTTTTTTTTTATCTTTCTTTTTAAGTTTTCAAAAAATGTAAATAAAATAAACGAAAAAAAAAAAAACCCCGGCAAATCCACATAACAGATAAGAGGATCAGGTCGCCACAAGCAATCAGAGAGGAACATATTAGACCATTTTAGCACATGCGCACTCTTACTTCCGAGAAAATAAGAAAAAAAAAATCACACACGGACAAGCCGTCCATTTACAGAAACTAATATGCCGGAAGCGATTCGGATAATCAAAAAGACTTGAATACTTGTAAAAAAAAAAGGCATAAGTATGCAAATTTAATATAATTCACAGGTGATTCGATTTTAAACAACAAGAATTTTAAAAATGGTTTGTGAAGACCAATTAAAATGATCGTATGTATGTATGTATCTATCTATCTATCTATCGCAGTTTCTTCATATCTATCTCTTTCAGATTATTCGTATATATCTATCTATCTATCAATCTATCGCAGTTTCTTCTTCTCTGTCTCTCTATCTCAGATTATTTATATCTATCTATCTATCTATCTATCTATCTATCACCGTTTCTTCATATCTATCTTTTGTGATGTCAACGAGCACGCGTTGCCATTTTTGCAATGACACCGGATATTCATGTTCACTTTCGCAATGCTCGTTGTAGTAGAGACTTTGTAATCAGAGATACAACTATAGTAACGCCGTTGAACAATACGGGTGTCAGACGCCTTCGAATAACACTCGCACTAATAGTCCTTGCTCGATAATACTCGATCGAATAGTAATCTGTATCGTGATCTAAATAGAGAAATAATATTGTGAAGGAAGTAGAGAAATATTATAGACTAGAAATGGTGATCCATATAGTAATAAAATATCGAACAGAAATAACAGTCCATTAGAGACAGGTTACCTCCCATATTTCTTCTATGGTCACGTGATCTACTTAATTCAATAATGGGATCGCCTGTGTTTGCTCACTGGCGATCTAGGTGCAAGCACAAGTGTCGGCAGCGACATTTTATTTCTATATAGCATAATCTCTCTATCACATATTATCCATATCTATCTCTCTATCTATCTCTATATCTATCTATCTATCTATCTATCTATCTATCTATCTCATTCTGTGCATATCTATCTATCTATCTATCTATCTCAGTTTCTTCATATCTATCTCTTTATATCAGATTTTCCATATTTATCTATCTATGCTATTCTGTGCATATCTATCTATCTATCTATCTATCTATCTATCTATCTATCTATCTATCTATCTATCTCATTCTGTGCATATCTATCTATCTATATATCTATCTATCTCAGTTTCTTCATATCTATCTCTTTATATCAGATTTTCCATATCTATCTATCTATCTATCTATCTATCTATCTATCTATCTATCTCATTCTGTGCATATCTATCTATCTATCTATCTATCTATCTATCTATCTATCTATATATATATATATATATATATATATATATATATATCAGTTTTTTCATATCCAACTCTCTATCCTAGATTATCAATATCTATCTATCTATCGCAGTTTCTTCATATCTATCTCAGATTATTCATATCTATCTATCTATCTATCTATCTATCTATCTATCTCAGTTTTTTCATATCTATCTCTCTATCCCAGATTATCAATATCTATCTATCTGTCTATCTATCTATCTATCTATCTATCTATCTATCTATCTATCCCATCATGTTCATTATCTATCTATCTATCTATCTATCTATCTATCTATCTATCTATTGCAGTTTCTTCATATCTATCTCTCTATCCCAGATTATCTATCTATCTATCTATCTATCTATCTATCTATCTATCTATCTATCTATCTATCTATCTATTGCAGTTTCTTCATATCTATCTCTCTCTCTCAGATTTTTCATATTTATCTATCTCTTTATCTGCCTCTCTATCTGAAATTTCATATCTATATCTATATTTCTTTCTCACACTATTTATTATCTCATTTTATATCTTCTTTTCAGTTAATACTAATCCTCTTTATATATATTACCACTATCTATGAAAACTCTGTGACATACGACAATGCTCTACGCAAAAGTGAGTGGACTGACAATGAAAGAAGACACTTGAATTTCTTCAGGACATATAATGAGCAAAGAATGACGGACACTCACATGACTCATTTGAGGTAGGACTGGCACAGTAAACCAACGACTTCAAGCTTTTTTAAATGAATTGATGATCAGTCGCTAAACGACAAAAGATCTGCAAAAAACAGGGAGTAGGGAGTGTCATGATCATCGATGTCTTAAGAAACACCGAAACTAGAAGACGAAAAAAAAAAACTCGAAGACTTCTAAAAAAGAAATAAGAATTAAACACCGAAAATTTAAAACATGTATTGACCTAAATATTCTTTAAATATATTGCAACGAGAGCGCCTGGAAGAAGGATTTATTCTTCCATTTGTAACACCGCTATTATGAACAATATTATATCCATGATATAATAACACCATAGCTCAAAGCCGGAACGGAATGACTGAAAGGAAAATGAATGACAAAGATACATTTTTTCCCAGAGAGACTTTTATACCACTAAAACATAAACAAGGCTTAAAACAATATATATATATATATATATATATATATATATATATATATATATATATATATATAACCCAGTCTGTCCTGCTATTTAACCCATAGCTGGAAGGAAATGAAGAGGATTCACACCTTTCCCAAGAAAGAAAGTTGGATGGCAACTAGTCTAGGAGAAGGACAACTCTGAATTCAAAACCTGCGGAGGGTCGTTTGGGGACCTTGTGGCACGTAGTGCACCAGGTCTCTGTATTCGGCCCTTCAAAAAGTGTGGATGGTCCTGCACGAAACCTTCACCACTATAATCGAATCTCATGTGCCGGTGTTCGGGTTGTCAGTTTCCTGGAAACTGATCTGCTTGACCCTCATACGTCGAACCCGACGGGAGAATCGATTTTTTTTTTAGATTTATATATATATATATATATATATATAAGTTATGAAGAACTTGGTAAACCGTATGGGTAATTCCAAGGAGGATGAAATCCTGAGTTACAGCCCCTTTAGATTTACTTCCCTCTCCCCATCTCTCCTTGCCGTAACACTCATTTGTATATATCTGTTTTACTGTTTTCTGTCTCCTCTTTCTTTTTCATTTTTTCTTTTTTCTTTTCTCCCTACTCCCCTCCCATTTCTATATATCATTTCCGTTAAGTTAACCATCTAAATAGGTCAAGGTCTGGTCACTCTTCCTATCACAATATAAAGTACACTTGAGAGAGATAAGAAATTAACCCCTCCCTATACTCTACCATGTCTCTTTAACTATCCCTCTCACACCTCCTGTTAAATTACAAAAACTTACACTACCCATCAATTTTTAATCTCATTTTTCGTTTTATTTCTTTGTTGGAAGTGTTACCTGATGATCCGGAGTCCTTTAAAAGGATTTTGGTGAAATAAATTATTGTAATGGTACCTTAAATTGGTCTGTTTTTCATTATATATATATATATATATATATATATATATATATATATATACCTACACATTAAAGAACAGTTAAAGGAGAAAAAAAAAGGAAGAGTCTTACATATAATATGGAGATACTCCTGTGGCTGGAGAATCCATGTTTAGGGCTCCACATTCAAAGAAGTTGCATTCAACTATGTTCTAAGTAAGGTGATGTAATGGAATAACCAGTCACCCCCATGAATGATTACACTATGTGTAGTAAGTACCTATAAAGTCTACTGTCTATGAGGGATAGGACAGGGAAGAGTGAGAGAGAGACGACGCAAGCACGTCCGGCAATCCAATTAATGGCACTCACTACTAGATTAATCTGTGTGTATAACTGTACCGTATTTCATATTGTTCTGGTTGTGGTTTTTTTTTGTTTTTTATTTTGTTTTTTTAAGCATTACGCCCCGAGCAAGGCGTGAAGCCACTAGGATGCAGGGGGGTTGCAGAAGATTTGGAGCGAGAGCAGATAGGAGTGATAGAAGAAAGGATGAGGAGAAGGATAGTGGGTAGATCAAGGTAACTGGAGATGTCAATTGACATTACATTTGAATAGTTGGAGATTGTAGCTCTCAGTAATTGAGAAGGGTGTTCCACAGGCGAGAGGTGCGAGGTATGAAGCTATTGGAGTAGAAGAGACGGCTACATTTACAAGTTTCTACAGTGTAAGGGTGAGAGCGGGATGCCAGCCTCGTATGGGCGCTTGAATTCATGGAGTCTGGGAACCAGTGAAAGCAGCTCATCGGAGCTATTACCATGAAAGTATTTGTAGAAAAGGCAGAGAGAGGCGACGGTGCGTCTGTGAGAAAGTGATTGTAGACGAGATGCCAGATCAGGGCCAATTATATTACATATTCGCACAGAATATAAGAGTGGCGACGAATATGTTTAAAACGAACTCACACGTAACATAACATAAAGAAACGGTGAGTTTTGGGTTTCCTAAATTTAGGACAATGAGCTGGAGTTTCATTCTATATCCGAGAAAGATATATTCCCAAATAGAAGCATCGCCATAGACCTTTAAGCTGCAGGGAAGGCAAATTCAGACGCTGCCCCGGGCCAGGAGGTGGTTAAAGAGACCAACCTTAGGATTTAGCTGCTGAAAACAAACTGAATTTGACTGCCGCTTTGTCACTCTATGAAGTGACGTCATGCGACTTATTTCAACCAAAGGGAGACAGTCGCCTTCTGTATCCCTACAATATCATTAAAGGGGAAGAAAAATGTGTGACACACGACAATGGTTTATGCAAAAAGCAGTAGATTGAAAATATGTCCATGATTTGCTATCAACCAATGGCGTCAGTAGAAAGAACAAATATCCGTGTGCATCATTAAGTTCAACCACAAATCTGTTGTAATCAGTCCAGCAGGCAACGTAATAGCAAAAACGGGGTCAGGAAATCCAACCTTCTTGCAGCAACAGAAACGCATTTTCATTGACCAAGCTCAAAAATCGTTCTGCTTCCCGTAAACCAAAAGCAACGGCATTTATTTACCGAACAATTTTTCTGATTGAGCACGCTATTCCGAGAGGAAAGAACAGCTATCTAACCACCGAATATAAGAATTTTTGCAAGATTATCTTCTTGGGCAGACCAGACATTTTCTGTGTTACTGTTAGCTAAATCCTGGGTATGACGATAAACTACACCCGGTAGCAAGGTCTCTGATCAGGAGAATGGAGGTTTTGAGGAAGGTGGAACGATCTCTTATTAATATGTTATTCCCGGGTCAACCCTGACCTGGGGTCGTAGAACCTGTTAGGTCTCAGATATGGGTAATTAGGGAAACCTAAACAAAAACGGTATAAAAACATAAAAATACAGTTTGGTTTGGTTTGGTTTGGTTTATTTTGTTTTACGGCATATCAACCACAATGGGTTATTTAATGCCACAACGTTTTTAAAATAGATTCGTATGAATAGAATATGTATTCTTTGGTTTAGATTGGTTTGGTTTATTTTGTTTTACGGCATATCAACCTCAATGGGTTATTTAATGCCGACAAAATTTTTATTGCTGGTAACGTTTTTTCTTCAAAAATCTATTTTTGGGAATATTTTTCCTTCAAGAAATCTATAGCAGGTCATATTTTTTTTCCAAAGAATTTATAAGTGTTTGTATTGATGGTATTTTTTAAAAGTATTTCTGATAATAATTTTTCCTTCAAAAATTTTTGCAGGTAATATTTTTTTTATTACAAAGTATTTCTGGTATTAAAACCTATTTTTACACAAGTTTGGGTGTTAACTATTTGCCCATAGCAGTGACCCTAACAGTTGCGACCACCCCCTGGTTAGGGTGGACATGGGAACAGCAGCAATTAAAAGGTGGTTCCACGTTCCTCAAAACCGCCTAATCAGAGGCCTTGATGCCGGGTGTAGTTTATCGTCTTACCCAGGACGCGGATGTAGTTTATCGTCATACCCAGCACGGCATACGTTTGTTTTGGTTTATTTTATTGGACGGCATAACAACCTTAATGTGTTATTTAATGACGACAAGATTTGTATTACTGGTAATAATCTTTTTCCGAAAATGTGTTGCAGGCAATGATTATTTTTTCTTCTAAAAATGAATTGCTGGTAATATTTTTTCTTTTTCAAATATGTACTACTGGTAACAATTTTTCAAAAAAGGTATTGCTGGTATTAATGCCTATTTTAAACTTTCAGTTTTTGAACCACCTTTTCTGGGGGTGGGGCGTTAACATTTTGCCTATAGCTGGAACTCTGACAAGTGTTATCGCCCCGGGTCAGGGTAGACCTGGGAACATGAGCAATTGGGAGGTTGTTCCACGCTCCGAAAAACCTACTGTTCAGAGACTTTGCTGTCGGATATAGTTTATCGTTTTACCCAGGACGCAGAAATAGTTTATCATCTTACCCAGGACGCGTATGTAGTTTATAGTCTTATCCGGGACATGGATGTAGTTTTCGTCTTAGTTAGGACGCGGATGTGTTTTATTGACTTACTCAGGACGAGGATGTAGTTTATCGTCTTACCCAGGACGCGGATGTAGTTTATAGTCTTAGCCAGGACACGGATGTAGTTTAACGTCTTAGCCAGGACGCGGATGTAGTTTATCGTCTTACTCAGGACGCGGATGTTGTTTATCGTCTTACCTAGGACGCGGATGTAGTTTATCGTCTTACTCAGGACTCGGATGTAGTTAATCGTTTCTTCCAGGAGGGATTAGCTTAGTTTCTCTTTCTTACTTACTAGGTTTTTACTGTTTTCTTTAATATTCCTTTGGCAGATCACGCACAAAACACGAACTCTTTTTTTTGAGGGAGATGATTTTCTCTTTCGTTACAGTCCACAACCGACTTCGAAATCTGAGCTCCATGGAAATAAAGCTAATATGGTGGTGGGATTGTCGTG